GAAATGGCCCAAAATGGCCGCGCGCAGCATTTTCGCGCCCTCGTTAAGCGAGGCGAGGGCGCGAAAATGGTTGCCGGCCATCCTGAAGCATCGCTGAACGGTGAGTATTTGGCCCATTTGGAACGCATTAAACATCGTTTAAATGGAAATCGCTGCCCCATTCAGCGATGCTTCAGCATAGCGAAGGTTAATCCGGAACGCTATGCGAGGCACCACTGTAAAAAGGAAATTATTATTTTACCATATTAATTTACACTGGAGCCCATTGAAAGTATAGGAATGAGCCGTGATAGGAGCATCATTCAGCTGTTCAGAGCAAGTGTTCTGCAATCCTGTATACATTTACAAAGGTGTAAATACCACTGAACCCAGGACTTCTGAATACACATGCATTGTGTTCTATTTTATGATGATCCGAAGCATCTGTGCTGCAAAGTCGGAAGACCAGCAGTCGTAAGATCGAATCCACGCAACGGAGTGAGCTCCTGTTGCTTGTCCCAGCTCCTGCCAACCTAGTAGTTCGAAAGCATGTTAAAATGCGAGTCGATAAATAGGTACCACCACGGTGGGAAGATAACGGCATTCCGTGTCTAGTCACGCTGGCCATGTGACCACAGAAACTGTCTTCGGACAAACGCTGGCTCTACGGCTTGGAGACGGGGATGAACACCGCCCCCTAGAGTCAGACATGACTGGGCTAAATGTCATGGGGGACTTTTACCTTTACCAATATAAAACTACACAAACCTTCAGATAAGCAGTACTGGACAATCTTGTAGGTCTAGCTCAAGTCCAAATTTTATTTGTTTTTATTTTTATTAAAGTATTTTCTGTCCATTAGGGCTCCCAAAGAGGTGTAAAATAGGCAGATCAAAATGGTTAAAAACTGTTTTAAAACATTGTTTTTAAAAAGTTTAAAAACGTTCTCCAGAAGCAGGCTTAAAAATAGTCTCTAAATGCTGAATTCAGAAAAAATGGCAGAGATTAAAAGCCTTTTTGAATTACAGCACAAGAGTTTTGGTCGCCAGTTGGAACCTCGGAAAGAATAGGGGCAACCAAAAGGGAATTTCATAACTAAGTTGCTTCTACCGAGAAAGCCCAGTGCTTACCAAACTTGCTTGTTGGGGTGGTGGATATGTAAGAGGGCCTCTGAGCAGGCATGTACAGGATGGGGTAGTCTTGCAGATATTTTAGCCAACACACCATTTACATCTTGTTTATTTTTAAATAAACAAATATAAATAAATTATTAAATTGTTTTCAAAATGCTTTCGTAAGACCCTGAAAAGCTGGATCATTGAAAATCAAAACCATCTTCTTGACTTCAGCTAGAAAGCACATTGGAACTCAATGCAGTTGATTCAAGACCACGGATGGTGTTTGCAGAGTGATATGAACATCTAGGTTTTCCACAGGGCACATGTGTCTCTTGTGTCCTGTGAGCACAGCCATAGATGCAAGAGAAAAAGCACCTGCTCTAAGCCAGGATGTTTGTCCGCACATCTTGATGATTAGGAACCACACATAGCACTTTTTGGCCTGTGCTAATTCAATGCGCAATTGGACGATTGCATGTTTCAATACCCGCTTTAATAAAATGCTTCCTCCCCATAGAAAATGACTACACTTAGGGGAAAATTCTTGGGATGTTCTATTCATGGTGCAAAAATCCTACATTAAGGAGAGCACTCAAATAGGAAGCCCTGTTAGTTGTGGGATTCTGGGCGCTTGGGGTCCAACAGAAGTTGCACTTCCCCTCTTTGCTCATCTCAGAGGAGCTCCATCTGTGGTACCTAACTGCTGATTAAAATGCTCGCCTTCCAGCAATACTGTGCAAAACAGCAGATTCTGCCGACAAGTTAGATCTTTAGTTGATTTATCCCATTTACATCCACCCTTTTCTGGGGGGAGCTCAACCTAACAGATGTAGATTTATGCATATGTATAAATATGGTGCTCCAATCATTTCTCAGCTAGTGTACCCTATCTGACACGGTAGGATAGGACTGTTGTTGCTTAGTCGTTAAGTTGTGTCCGACTCTTCATGACCCCATGGACCCCATGGATAGGACAGAAATGAATACAGTACATTAGTGTATTTATCTGCAGCCCAACCCTTTAAGGTAGGAGAGGCTAGCTGAGAAATGGCTGGAGTGGCAAAGATTAGCCAGTGAGTTATGTGATGAAAAGGGGACTTTGACCCAGCGGTCCTTCATCTGAGTTGCTACCAACTAGGGTCACCTTGCCAAGAAAAGTCCGAATAGTCAAAGCTATGGTTTTTCCTGTAGTGATGTATGGAAGGGAGAGCTGGACCATAAAGAAAGCAGACTGCCGAAGAATTGATGCCTTTGAATTGTGGTGCTGGAGGAGACTCTTGAGAATCCCCTGGACTGCAAGGAGAACAAACCTATCAATTCTAAAGGAAATCAACCCTGAGTGCTCACTGGAAGGACAGATCCTGAAGCTGAGGGTCCAGTACTTTGGCCATCTCATGAGAAGAGAAGACTCCTTGGAAAAGACTTTGATGTTGGGAAAGTGTGAAGGCAAGAGGAGAAGGGGATGACCGAGGATGAGATGGCTGGACAGTGTCTGCGAAGCAACCAACATGAATTTGACACAACTCCGGGAGGCAGTAGAAGAGAGGAGGGCCTGGCGTGCTCTGGTCCATGGGGTCACGAAGAGTCGGACACGACTAAACGACTAAACGACGAGGGTAAAGGTAAACGTTATCTTTGGTAATGGCTGGTGACATTAATGCACCAACCAGAAATGGAGATGACGTGATGGTATGTAACGCTCCACGGTTTTTCCTCGTTTGGAAAGTGGGAGGGAAGCAGGTCCCTCCCCATTACTGGTCCAGAAAATGAATGGTTGACTTTGAACCTTACCCACACTGCAGATGTTGGGCCTCTGTGGTCTCATCTGCTGGAAGAGTTAACAAGGCAAGGGTCTTTTTTCCAAAGAGGAATGGCTTGCAGTGACGACCACATATAGCAAAGAGTGAGTAAAGACCCCTGAAGGGCCCACTTCAGGGCTTATATTGGACATCTGACGTCTTCAATAGCTAGCTTTTCTACAACTAAATGCCATGTTTATTTCCAACAAGTGNAAGGACACTTATTGAATAATCGGTGCAACCTTCAAGAAAAGCCATAAATTACCCAGCTCTATCTGTCGCTATAATTTCCAGCCAAAGTCCTAATGAATCTTTCTAAACAATAGTGGAAAGACAGGCCTGGAAATGTATTGGACCTTGTAAGCAGTTGGGTAAGCAAAGGAGAAGCATTAATAATAACCGAAAAGTCTTCCAGAACCAAAAACTGTGCCAGCCAAGGGGATTGCTGGACTACCAAAAATGGTTAAAAAAAGGGAAAGACCTGATTTCAGTGAGTCACTGCTCATCAACTTCCCCTGAAAGGATGCTGGGAAATTTTTTAAAAAAAGAGTTGAGGGAGGGGTGAATTCTAAAATGGGCCGTTTCTTGGCTATATTCGGACAAGCAAACAGTCTTCTAGGGGCAAGAATGCTATGGAGCAAAAGGGCCTCTGGTTTCATAAAGACTTTCACCGCTCTGCACAAGGAAGAAACCACTTTTTTGATCACGCTTTGGGGAAATGCCGTTTGGGTACAAGAGTCCACCCGACTTGCATAAAGTATCCAACGCCAATTTAAAGAAGGAAATCGACAGTACAATGAATTGTGTGAACTGGCCTTCGCCCCGAAGACTCAGTGGTGAGGTGTGCGTTTAAAATGCAGAATGTCCAATATTCAATTTCAGGCAAGTCCAGTTTAAAAGGGGATGGGGATGGGGGTGAGGGATCAGGTGGCAGGGGTGGAAAAAAAAAGGATTTCCCTCAAAACTCTGGACAATTGCCATGAGCAGGTCCCTGTTCTAGGGAGGGAATAGTCATCTTGTTTGCACTGGATGTGAGACATAAGGGGTACTACTCTTCCATTAAAACCGCTTCCTTATGGAATGGGGTGCTTGCTAAAAGCCTGCCTTAATAGAAGAGGGACGTGGTGGTGCGGGGGGTTAAACCGCAGAAGCCTCTGTGCTGCAAAGTCAAAACACCTGCAGTCGTAAGAGCGAATCCACACGACGGAGGGAGCTCCCATCACTCGTCCCAGCTCCTGCCAAACTAGCCGTTCAAAAGCATGTAAAAATGCGAGTAGATAAATAGGTACCACTTCAGTGGGAAGGTAACGCCATTCCCTTTCTAGTCGCGCTGGCCACGTGACCACGGAAGATTGTCTTTGGACAAACGCTGGCTCTATGGCTTGGAAACAGAGATGAGCACCGCCCCCTAGAGTTGGACAGGACTGGACAGATTGAAGGGGATCCTTTACCTTAAAAGAAAGGGCTTGTCCTTTACCAGATTATATGGGGCAAGAAGATCCATCACTCTGTTCCCTGTTCCCTTGGAGCAAAGTGGAGTAAAATGCTCCACAGTGGAGAGATGCAGAGCTCACACGGATACATATATTGCATATTCATAGACTGTGTGCCGTCTTTGCCCCTTGATCTTAGGAGAGAAAGAGAAGAGGATGTGGCTGTAGCTGATCCTCATGTAGACACTGTTTAGAAGATCCAGTGACCCTGAGGAGTTTGGACATCAAGCCCGTCGGTTAAGAGTGGTCTTAACCGACCAGACAGAAGACCCAGTGACCCTGTGGAGTTTGGACGTCAAGCCCATGGGAGCATTCCCAACTGCTGCATGAGTTACCCACTGAAAATAAATGAATAAAATAAATAAATTCCCAACTGCTGCATGAGTTACCCACTGCATTTGTTCAGCTGAACAAAACATAGGATAGGGCGATGACCATGTCATGGGACTGAATGTAGCTGTCAGTTACATGTGGGGGGAAATATCCATTTTTGAATCAAGTTTAGCGTGTTTGAAATTGATTTTAAAAAATTCTGACGACACGACACACAGGGAAGCATGGATTTCCAAACACCCCCCCCCAAAAAAAACATACACATATGTTTTGGTTGGAAAGCAAGGTATTGTACTCAGCCATGAGTCCTTTATTTTAAATCACTTGTGAAATTGATTTATTTTGAATTCTTTTGGCACATGTGAATGCCTCTGTTGGTGTAAGTTGTGTGTATGGGGTTTGCCAAGTATTGGATGCCAGGATCATGGGTTTCAGGCTGCAGGGAAACCTTGCAATTCCATCTGAAAAGAGAGCAAACAGAGAGGTAAAGGTTGTGGGAGTGTTCCCGTCTTCACAAGCCTAGAAGCTGTTGATCTTATCACTTTCTTTGGTTTTCTTTCTCTTTGCCAGGCATTAGTGTGCCTTCCCTCTGGATAGCCCTAGCTGCCACTTTCCTTGCTCCCTCCCTTTCTCCACCCATGTGTGTGTGTGTGCTTGTCTCTCTGTCTCCGGACCTGTGTGATGGACTTCAGGGAAAATGTGCAATCCAATCAGTTTTCGTTATTTTCCCGTCATACTTAATTAGCGCTATGTCAGATCGCAATAAATATTTTTTTAAAAAAATGTAACACCGCATCAGCACTGCTTAATGGTAGTGTGAGGGAGGCCAGGCACAGGAGAAAGCCTCAAAATACAGTTCTAAAAGCCCATGTAGCCTCCTGATCAATATACAACACATTTAAAAAATGGATTAAACGATCAATATACAACACATTTTAAAATGGATTAAAAGTTTTCCCAAGAAGATGTACACAACAATCCACAAAGTATGTGACTGCCATATGATTTTAAAACAACTTCAAAATCCTAAATTATTTCCCAATTTATTTTCATAGTGTAACCGTGCTCTGAATTGGCTACATCTCGTCCATGATGACACCACCCTTTGGTGATTTCTCTATTTTTGTATGACTTTTCCTGAATTTAAAAAAGCTGGAATACCTGTCCAAAACCATACTTCCTTGCAGTAAGAGCTTTAAGTGAAAACATGTTTTTAATCTTTGGCTCCTTCAACTCTGGGAATGCCGCTCCCAAAAATTTCTCTGAAATTGAACTGAGACCTTGAGCCAAAGGGAGTTTAGTTCTTCACACCTGCTTTAGGAGAACAAAAGAAAAATAATCAACACATAACTTGGGTGAAAAATAATCAGGGTAAGACATTCTAATCAATGGAAGATTTTTGGGTCTTCTGTTTAGTATTGGGGTGTCTCTAGTCGTTGGTGGAAAGGGCTGCTGGAGGGCCAAACTGAGTTGAATTTCATGTATTGGTTCAACCATAATCAGCTAATTCTTTGGTTGCAAAACTTTGGTGATTTTATCATTACTGAATAAAAAGCAAGCCGTAAGGGATAAATGCCTTCTATGACAAATGAAAAAGGGAATTAATTATTAGGGGGAAGGGAAGGATACAGAATGGCTTTGCTGCCTGCTAGTCAGAAATATAAGAAAAATACACCTTCTAATTAACAGTTAAATTGTACAATCATCCAACCATTTTGTGTAGGTAGCCATGTGTCAGTGACCACCAGTGCATGATCATGAGGGGGCTCTATATGTCAAGAAACGTTTACAAATCCTGAAGGTCTGATTTATGCCAACAAGATAAAGGATTTATTTTGAAAAATTCATACATCATTCATTATTATCCTGCTTTAAATAAAATTGCTCAGGCGCCCAATCAGAGGGCAGAAACCAGACCACGGGGTATCTGTGACAAATCGCAAGCTGTGACTCTAATGAATAGATTAGTGAACCTTGTGAATAAGCCATTGGATGGAATTCATTTGCATAAAGCAGTCAGAGAATAAATACATATTTTTATTGGCATTAGCATGAGTATCGTTTCTGGTAAACCAGCACCCTCGGGGCCTTTGCTGCCGCAGAAGGAAAATGTCTTTTGATGTGATTGTTTCAGAGACCCATGATTGGAGGGTGGGGGGGAAAAAGAGGCCTGCAGCGTATGGAGGGAAGGAGGATAAAGGAGAGAAAAGAACAGATCTACGCGGGTTTTACTAGAAGCTGTAGGGAGAAAGATAAGACAATTAAAGAGCAGGATGAGTTAGGATGAATAAAAAGGTTATAGGGAGTACAGCGCCCTTTTATGGCTACCAAGGGGGAAAGAAAAGGCTGCAGGAACCACCATATATTAACAAACTGAAGCAGATGAATAGCGCTAGAGGGGCTGTTACCGAATTTCTTTCTTTCTCCCCCCCCCCCCAACCATATATTAACAAACTGAAGCAAATGAATAGCGCTAGAGGGGCTGTAACCGAATTTCTTTCTTTCTTTCTCCCCCCCCCCCCATTGCTCTTGAGGAAGATAACTAAGGGGAAGGGGCAGCAAACAATTAGGAACTAATGAAGGCCTTGTAAATACACTTACCGATAAAAAGCACCGTAAAAGACGGCTTGACAAAGCAAACATACACAAATCGGTGTCCAGGCCAGGCAGGACGCAGCTGGAATTATTAAAGGGATTAGCTTAGAGAACGGAAGCTGGTTCCTTCTCTCCTTCCCTCTCTCCTTCCCCAGGCTCCGTCTTGCACTCAGTTATGCATGTTGTAAGCATGACTTTTGTGGGCATCAACGCACATGAACCGTGATTCTGGCCTATGTAGCTGTGCTATGTGTCAATCATCCTGCCACTGCTCAGACCCAGTAACTCTGGGAACAGTGACACAGTTGTGCACTCACGGCCAGGCATGAGACTTTGAAGAGGAAGGCAACGCTCATAAAGTGGGGTGCCGTGTTAAAATGATGGAACCCAAGTTAAAATGAAACCTGGATTCGATAAATAAGTAACTTGCCTGACCCTTTTGTTCGTTTGCTTGTTTATATAGTGCACTTCTTAGCCGCTTTAAAGAATGCAGGATTCCCACGGCCAGACTCTGCTGTTCAACAGGACTCACTGTGTTTACCTAATCTTCTTTTAAAACCCTCCAAACCGGTGGCCTATATACACAGCTTTACACAATTTACTTCTGATGTTGATAGGACTCAATTATCTGCCACAGTTTAGCGAGCCATTACTGTGTTGCAGACTTCTGTATTTCTGTTTAAAATTCACCCTTTGATACATAGCGGAAGTACAGAGATGCAGAGAAGAGAATAGCTTCAAGATCCTCAGACAGTCTGCTCCTTTCTCATTAACTGGCACTTACTGTCTCAAACCTCAGATACCTTAGTAACAGAAAGAACGAAATATTTCATTACTTACAGTTTGGAACAGATAACAGCAAAATGAAGAACCAACTGACAACCTGGCAAGCTTCAATAGACAAAAGAGAGGGGAAAAGAACTTAGCAGAGAGGCGGAGCTGTCTTTGAATTCTGCTCAGGAAGAAAATGGTTGGTTAATGCTGGATAGATTGACAGCCACCACAGCCCAGAAAGGTCCCTCTCAGTCAAACAAACTAAAGAAGCATGGGAAACTGTAAAAACGCCAACATGCTCAGGATCAAAGTAGAGGTCATTAGAGGCTGAAATCCTGTTAGTGTTCTGACAGACCTTCTAATCACCCTTCTAAGGTCTGAGCTCATCTCACGAGACGAACCAACCAACCAATCTGCATACAGGTAATGCACGCTTCTAGAGGGGGGATGTTCCTCTGCTGGCAATGGCATGCCCTTCTGTACTGGATTCTCTCTTCTCATATACAGTGGTGCCTCGCTTAGCGACGTTAATCCATTCCAGGAAAAACATTGCTAAGCGATTTCATCGCTAAACGGAATAAAATAGCTCATAGAAATCCATTAAAACATGTTTAATGCATTCCTATGGGCTTCAAAACTAACCTTATGTGAAGATCCTCCATAGGGGCGGCCATTTTCGGTGCCTCTAAAGCGAGGCAAAACAGCAGGTGGCCATTTTGTGTTTCCGGCGGCCATTTTGGAACCACCGATCAGCTGGCCGAAAATGGGGGCTTTGCGCTGATCGCGCGGAAGCGATCATCGCAAAGCGATTTTTCCCCATAGGGACCATCGCTAAGTGATCGTTCTGGCGATAGCCAAAACCCCATTGCTAAGCGATTTCATCGCTCAGTGGAGCGATTGCTAAGCGAGGTACTACTATACCTGTAAGGCACAAAGCTAAACCAAGCGATGAAGTGACTGCTGGATAGCTCAGTGGTTCAGGCATCATCCACTGTACCAATTTCTACTGAATGACAGCACCATGCTCATGATCTGATGCTCAGTCTGCCTCATCCACAGACCACAAGCCAATATGCTTTGTTCTCCCATGTTCATATCTCCACTCCTTTTCCAGCAGCAAATTTCCTACGGGATGATTAGTCACCCTGATGCAACTTGTGGGCACTCAGCATAAATTTAGAACATTTTCTTAAACTGGACCTACCATTTCAGCTTGCAAAAACATGTATGCATACAAAATAGATGACAGGGAAGTATTCTGTTGCATTATGTGATTGCAGAAGGGGGGTTATATAAGTTTTGCACATGCCCCAGCAGTCTGCTGCCGGCAGAGTCTTGCACTGATTGTGCACCTGGTTGTGCAACATTTGTGCAACCAGCCACAAAACAAGAAGGGGGTGGGTCTACTTACGTGATTTGTGCTTATGTACCAAATAGGATACTGTTCTGTGTGACTTTCAGAAAGAGCAAGGGCCCAAAATGAAATAAAATTTAACTAGAATGTTTGTTTGGATTGTCTCCTTCCATATCTGATACGGTGAACGGATGATATATTGATTGAACTCCTGACATATTGGATGGATATACTAGTTACGATGTATTTATGCTAATATACTGTCAAGGATGCTTCAGCATGAATCAGGAACTTAACAGGCTGTGTACGAAGACTTCAGAGACTTCTTTAGCCACAGAGAAGAACCAAGGAATACATCACTGCCCACTATATCTGGATGACAGCATGAAGTCTACCGATTCATTATTAGGGTGGCCACTTACATATCACCAAAAACAAAAAAGGACAGTAATTTGTATAAATTACATATGCTAATTTACAAGTGCTGGTTGGATAGCTCAGTGAGCCAGAGACTGAGATTTTGATTCTTCATTGTGCTTCTCAGGAGAAAAGCCAGCCTGTGTAGCCTTGGGCAATCTGCACAGACTCAGGTCACCCCCAAAAGAGGGGAATGGTTCACCACTTTTAGGTATTTTCTACTAGAAAGCACTGGAAGAGGTTGTCGTGAGAAATGACTTAATGACATGCTACTGATATTTTAATTCACACGAAATGATTTTTATAACTTGAACAGAATTACAACACGTCTCACCCACTTGGCAACGACTGTGACCAGGTGTCTTATAGATCTGTTGAAGTGGCAGTCCAGCTGGTAATTGTGAATGGGCAATTTCAAGATCCCTGATCTCCCTTGATTGTTCTTCTTGAGCCTCTGATGAGTGGTAAATTCTGCCAGTGTAATAATGCCTGTCGGGCAACTGTTGCTGTTGTATGAAAGTGGTGACTCACCACTTGCCCGGCAATGCTTGCACAAGTGGTTCAATCCTGCAGGACTTTCAATACAGAAGGTGCTCAAGAGGATAGAGGCTTTCAGTCTTAGCATTTCAAGCAGAGGACACTTTCAAAAACAGGACTGTCCTCTGGAAACTCTTCCAATACAGGACTGTGCTCTGTGAAAGAAGGTGTGTAACCACTTTATGGGTTATATCTGGCATAAACGTTAGGAACTTTCTGCTCTTGGCTGGTCAACAGAAGAGTCTCCTGCTCTTGAGCTCCTGGCTCTAGCAAATAATCTCAAGAATTCTTGGAAAAAGAAAGCAAACTCCCAGTCTAAACTCAAATGCAGTCAACCTAGCCCTGGCACTTATCTAGAGATGCAGAGAGACCTGGCATCCCTTTTATATGGCCTCTTTGGCCAATTGCTAACCTCCTATTGGCCTAACATGGACCACCTGCTTTGGATTCCCTTTATTCCTATATTTCCAGGACTCCATGTCATATAGCCATGCCATCATTAGATTACTCTGGAGTTCAAGAGCCTGGGAATGGCCACTGAGAACTCTCTCTCTTGCATTCCCTCCAGACATGGCTTAAAAGATGGCAGAACCAAAAGAAGGGTCTTTAAAAGATCTCCAAGTCCAGGCATGCTTATAATGGAAAATATAGTCCTTGAGGTAGGTAAAAGTAAAGGTTCCCCTTGACATTTAGTCCAGTCATGGCGCAGTTCTCATCACTGTTTCCAAGCTGTAGATCCAGCGTTTGTCCGAAGACAGTTTCCATGGTCACGTAGCCAGCGCGACTAGACATGGAACGCTGTTACCTTCCCACCGTGGTGGTCCCTATTTATCGACTTGCATTTTTACATGCTTTCAAAGTGCTAGGTTGGCAGGAGCTGGGACAAGTGACGGGAGCTCCTTCCATTGCCTGGATTCGATCTTATGACGGCTGGTCTTCTGACCTTGCAGCACAGAGGCTTCTGCGGCTTAACCCGCAGCACCACCACGTCCTTGAGGTAGCCTGTGACAAACCAGGATAGTGCTACTCAGTAGAGATGAAACACAAACTAAGAAATGTTCTTGGGATTTTCTGAGTCCTGCCATGCTTAGATTCCCTGGCAGACTTCTTCTCCAAGAAGAGGTTTTTCTAACTTCCTGTTAATTTTGTTCTTTTAATTACCAACGTTTTCTTCTTGTTCTGTTACAGGGAACTACAGAATTGTGAACAGGAAAGACATGGCTCTACACAGGAGTTGTAACCATCTTGCACGAGTTTCCATTTTTCCCCCCCTGCCTTTTTTGGGTGAATTCCGCATAGGAAAGAAGCCATTCTATTCAGGAACGTAGTGATCCTACACAAAACCACCCCCAATCAAAAAACAAAACCAAGCTTGCCAAACTCAAAAACAAACCAACAAACAAACTCATGACCTCTGGGAAATTCAGCATAATCCCCAAGAAAGGTGAAATGCAAGGAAATCTTGTTGCCAGGAGAAAAAAGCATTTAAGGATTTTCCCCCTCTGTTCCTCTCCAAATGTCCCTACTTGATAGGACAGAACATAATTGTCAAAAATAATACCCAAAATTGCCCAAACAGAACTAAAATGTCAGTACAACACTGGTGGCGCAAGTCAATGTTGCCAGATCGACAGGGGAAGAAAATTTATTTTGTTTTATCTTTTCTTCTAATTTTTTAAAATAACTGTTGAGTTTGCAACTGTATAGATAGCTCAAAACAGAAGTAACACTAAGTTCAGATTCCAGACATTTGCCTGGGTCACCTGTCTCTGGAGCATTCTTTGGCACTGCCTTCTTTGGGATTGGGATGTAGACTGATCTTTTCCAGTCCTCTGGCCACTGCTGAGTTTTCCAAACTTGCTGGCATATTGAATGTAGCACCTTAACAGCATCATCTTTTAAGATTTTAAATAGTTTGACTGGAATGCCATCACCTCCACTGGCCTTGCTGTTAGCCAAGGTTTCTAAGGCCCACTTGACTTCACTCTCCAGGATGTCTGGCTCTAGGTCAGCAACCACACTACAGTGGTGCCTCGCATTACGACGTTAATTCGTTCCAGCGAAATCGCTGTAGAACGAAAATGTCATAATGCGAAATTTAAAAAGCCTACAGGAACGCATTAAAACCCAATTAATGTGTTCCTATGGGCTTGAAACGTATCGTCCAGCGAAGATCCTCCATAGGGCGGCCATTTTCGCTGCCCGTGCAGCAAGGAATCCATCCCAGAAAAGAGCGGGGAGCCATTTTTTTTACCTGGCAGACATTTTGAAACCGCCGATCAGCTGGCCGA